GCACCCACACTAGACTGCTCACAACTGCCTGTGACTCCAGTTCCAGGGATCTCTGGCCTTCATAGGCACATGTGCCACACATGTGCACATATGTGCAAATATGCATAGTTAAAAATAATTATTTTAAAGGTTTCCTCTGATTGTAAAATAATATATAACATATATGTGTTGTAGAATATTATTTTTAAGATGTGTTACATTTGTTTATGATGTGGAACATTTGTTTAACGATGCAAAGATGTGTTGCATTCTTTTATGTTGCATTTATCAGTGAAGCTGTGTTACTTTGCTTGTCTAAAACACTTGATGGCCTAATAAAGAGCTGAATGGCCAATAGTGAGGCAGGAGAAAGGATAGGCAGGGCTGGCAGGCAGAGAGAATAAATAAGAAGAGGAGCAAGAGACCAAAGAGAGGAGGACACTAGGGGCCAGCCACACAGCCACACAGCCACACAACCACACAGCCAGCCACAGAGTAAGAGTGAAAGTAGGATACATAGAATAAGAAAAGGAAAAAGCCCAGAGGCAAAAGGTAGATGGGATAATTTAAGTTAAGGAAAGCTGGCTAGAAATAAGCCAAGCTAAGGCTGGGCACTCATAAGAAAATAATAAGCCTCCGTGTGATTTATTTGGAAGCTGAGTGGCAACCTCCCCAAAAGAGCCAAAAAAGTTAAAACAAACAAACAAAAACAAAACAACCAACAACAAATATGTGTCTAGTGCTTTAGGTAGAAGCCAAAGAGGAGAAAATGAAATGCCTTGTATATTTCTCTAGCAATTCACATGCCAGAAGAAAATGGAATAATGTCTGTGAAATTTTAAAGGAAATACATGTTACCACCAGAAAATTCTATAAGCTGCGGTGTTGATAGGCAGTCTCAAGTCTACAGCCACACGGAAACCAACGGAGCACTCTCGCTTAGCCTAAGGTGAAGGGGACAGAGCACTGTAGTGTGGAGACACCTTCCACCTGCCACGCACAGCTCATCTCCCAAACCTTTTAGTAAAACCCATAAATAGCCGCAATTTTCTCCCCTAACAGCCTAGTCAATGAATTCAAAGATAGTCAACAACTAGTCACTGTGAGAAAAAGCAAACTTCTCTCCTCCTGGCCTGGTGCCTTTCTCTACCCTTCTCCTCCTCCTCCTGTGATAAATTATGAGCCCTTCTCATTTTTGATTCACCAATAAGAATCTAATGATGGCCTTCTTGGTGGGGATACTTATGACTTAGTGCTATAGCTTGAAAATGTCTTACTCCTTCAAATTCATGCAGGAGGAGTTTTGGTTGTTTTGTTGCTGTTGTTGTTTGTTTGTTTGTTTGTTTGTTTTTTGAAACGGTCTCACTGTGTAGCCCCGGCTGGCTTGGTAGAGGTGTGCTCTGTAGACCGGGCAGGCCTCGAACATGCACAGATCTTCCTGCCTCTGCTTCCTAAAGACACGCACCGCCACACCTGACTAATGTAAGAGCTTATTGGTTTGTTTTTTTACTTTTTTGAGACAGGGTTTCTCTATATAGCCCTGGCTTGCCCTGGAACTCACTCTATAGACCAAGCTGGCCTCAAACTCAGAGATCCATAGGCCTCTGCCTCCTGAGTGCATGTACCACCACTGCCTGCTTCATTTAGGAGTTTAACCCCTAAAGTTCTATGTTAGTGTCAGACTTTGGTATACAAAGAAGCTTTGGTGGTTAGAGCGTAGGCCCCATGATTAAATCTCAGAGACTTCATAACAGGCAGGCAGAGGCCAGAGGACAGCTCATTTGGTAAAAGTACTTGCTGGATAAACACAAGAACCTAAGCTTGGACCCCTAGAACCCACATGCTGAGCATGTCTGTAATCCCAACAGGGGGAGGGTGGAGTTTGGGATGGAGACAGGATGCTATCAGGCTCTCACTAGCAGGACAGGTTCCCTGAATCAAAGAGCTGCAAGTTCAATGACAGACCTTGTCTCCAAAAATAAGGTGGAGGGGCTGGAGAGATGGCTTAGCAATTAAGAGCATTGGCTGCTCTTCCAGTGGACCTAGGTTCTGTTTCCAGCATCCACATATCAATTCACAACCATTCATAACTCCAGTTCCGGGGGATTCAATATCCTCTTCTGACTTCCTTGGGCATTTGACATGAATGTGGTGCACAGACATTCATGCTGGCAAAACACTTAGGCATAACACAAAATGAATAATTAAAAAAATTTTTTTTGAGACAGGGTTTCTCTTCGTAGCCCTATCTGTCCTGAAACTCACTCTGTAGACTAGGCTGGCCTTGAACTCACTGAGATCTGCCTGCCTCAGCCTCGAGTGATGGGATTAAAGGTGCTACCACCACCTGGCTATGAATAAATCTTAAAAAAAAAAATAGAGTGATTGAGGAAGAACTTGTTTCACCTTTGTTCTTCACAAGTACACACACACACACACACACACACACACACACACAGTGGGAATAGAAACAAGTAACTTGAAGAATTTGATGAGATCAAAATTGTGTGTGGTGTGTGTACCTGTTCATGCAAGGGTTTTACAGTGTTTGTATGGTGTATTTGTGGGGTGTGTGTGGAAGGGTTCTGTTGGGGTGTGGTGTAGTGTGTGTGTGTGTGTGTGTGTGTGTGTGTGTGTGTGTGTGTGTACAGGAAACTAAGTTATCACTGAAGTCTCAAGAGATGACTCAGTGGGCAAAGGTGTCTGCTGCCGAGTCTGACAGCTAGAGATTGATTCCTGGGACCCACACCACAGAAGGAACGGACTGACTGTCCCAAACTGTCTTCTGATCTCTGCCTGTGGACTGCGGCAATGTACATACACACGTACACAAAATCAATCTTAAAAATCAGTATTGATTGTAGAATACTTTTTTAATCCCCAAATCCAAGAAAATCAGTTACGAATACTTGTAAGCAAGAGACGTTCCCCAGAAACGGGGTGGGGTGGGGTGTGTGGCAGAGCGGATTACTCATTCTCTTCCCTTTGCTGCAATCAAGCGCCTCTGCACATCCACAAGAAGCCTAGGGAGGAAGGGTTTAAGGGACACGCTCATCATGGCAGGGAAGGCTTGGTAGCGGAAGTGTGGGAAGCGGGTCACCGTCGGAAGGCAGACAGAAAGCCGCAAGTGGGGATGGACTGAAAACCACAAGGGCCACCCCTAAAGACCCATTTCCCCCAGGAGACGCCATCTCCTATAGGGCACACAGTCTGTCAAACCAGCACTGTCAGCTGGGCACCGAGGGTTCAGATAGTGGCCTGTGGTGGGGGACATTTCACACTCAGAATACAGCAGCAGAGACAGGGAAGGCTGTAGAGAAAGGCTGAAAGAGGAAAGGAAGGGTTGGAAAAGACAGAGGGGCCACAGGGAGAAGCCAATGAAGAATCCACCCTTCCCTGCTCTACCTGATTATCTTCTGTAGGTATCATCAAAGCCCCAATTGTTTATTGTTGCTGTTGTTCCTCAGTTTCTAGGAGACCACTGCCCCAGCCTAGCCTGAGTTCTAGGCCTTCTTAAAGGACCAGAGTAAACAGTGTGCAGTGTTACTTGCCTGTAATCCCAACACTTAGGAGGTCAAGGCAGGAGGATCTCTAATTTGATGCCAGCCATGAACTCATTTTCCCAATACCTGGCACCCTGTGCCCGGCCTCATTTGGCTCATTTACTCTTGACACAATGCTAGGTGGTGGCTGGTACTTCTGACATCCACTTTGCAGATGTAGGAACTAAGGCAGGAGCTGAGAGATGGCTCCGCAGTTAGAAGCATGTAGTGCTCTGCCAGAGGACCCGAGTTCAGTTCCCAGCACCCATGTCCGGTGGCTCACAACCAGCTGTAACTCTTGCTTAGGGGGATCAAATGATTCTGGCCTCAATGGGCACCCACACTCGTGTACATACCCACTCACACGTAACTAAAAAATAAAGAAGAGGCCAATGTCACACAGCCCGTAACTTGTCTTGCTCTAATTTCAACACTCTAGAGAGGTGAAGGTAGGTGTGTCCCCGCAATGGGACACTCTGGCTGAAGTTGGCTATTTCTACTACAGCCTAGGAAAGAGACAGAAGCCTGGCATGCTTTGCTAAGCAGAAGACCACCAGCCTGAGGACTAAGTCCACTGGATGTTGGAAGTGGTCCCGCTGGCACAGGGTGGTTAGGTGCCACAGCCCAGGGGCAGGGCCGGCAGCACACTGAGAACAGTGAAGATAAACTGTGTCTTAGTGCTCTGGCCTTCCCATGGCAGGTGCTGGGTGGATAACTCGGTAGCTCAGACAGCAAGGGACAACGAGCAACACAAAACCATGTAGCAGGGCTCACCAAATGCAGGCCCTTCCAGGAGTTCCATCGGCTCCACCCTACCTCTCCGCATCCCTCGTCAATCAGCACCAGCTGACCAGACTCACTCTGGGGCTGCAGGTCCTCCCCAGGTGCAGAGACACACAACAAATAGTGCAGAACTGATCCTGAGGCTTCTTGGGCTAATGCACCTTACACCTTTTCCTGGCTGGCTCACCTGCCCAGTCAGCCGGAGCTGCAGACCCAATGTGCAGCAGACCTAGCCTGTTGCTGACTGCTCTCAGCCTCAAAGCCTGCTTCCTCCAGACACAGCAGACAGCATGCACAGAACAGGCAGAGAACTACAGGGTGGAGCGATCACATGAGCAGGGTCATTCTCAGTTTGGAGAACAGAACCTGGGAGACAGTACAACCAGAAATACAGTTCAGGGCTGGAGGGAGACAGGATTCCTTGCAGCTCAGGCCCTACGATTCAGCTGCTCCACATTTTTCAGGGGCTCAGGATGGAAAAGAGCCTAAGTGTGGATATGTGTGGGACTCTGGGAGACAGGAAGGAACAAGACATTGACACAATGACATAACCTGCTGTGTATGGTGCTACACAGCTGTGATCCCAGCACTTCAAGAATTCAAGGCCAGTCTCAGCTACATGAGACCTATCCAAAAAAAAAAAAAGGAAAGAAAGAAAAGAAAATTGACACAACCTAAAGAACAGACAACAAAACCTAGTGTTTTTCTCTTTTAATTATTTACCAGATTAAAAAAGAAAAAATAGTGATTGTTTTTCTTCACCCCCAATATTTCCGTCCGCCAAAGCTGAGTGGGAGAGACTTGCTGAACAGTGATTCGTGCTCCTGGCCGGAAGCAAAGTCCTCCCCTCTGCTCTGTGCTGCCTCAAGCAGGAGGGGCAGTGCAAAGAGATCCAGGCAGTCATCGTCCTGGACAGCAGGCTGGCAGTGTGGCTGTCATTTTTCTCTCCACGCTGCCATCCGAGCATGCGGACCTACCCTTTCCTGCCTGCCCTGCAGTTCACAGAAAGAAGGTGCGCCTGCAGGAGGCAGGTGCGGGGCAGAGCAGGGCAGAGCTGGGCCGGCGGCGGCAGCACACAGCCGATGCAGCAGGTCAGGGTCACCTCCTCCTATTGCACATCCTGGCTCAGGCCCCCTGCCCTGAGTGCTGGATACAGGTAAACTGCTTTCCAGATCCTAACAGGGAGCCTGCAGCGAGTGTCAGGCTCAAGAAACAGGGAATGTGGCACCACGTGGCTTGCTCCAGAAAACACATGTAATTTATGATGGGGCCAAAGCAAAACTTAGCTTCTTTCACACCATGGGGCCTGTGGTTGACTTGGGTTTCTCCTGCTCAGCTTCAAAGGACAGATTAACCCTTTGCCCAACTCCATCAGCAGATCTGCTTCTGCCTAGGATGGAAGAGGTTCTGGCCCCCAATGACACAAGCCAACCCCGCAACTGCCAGGACCCTGAACCACTCAGAGCATGAACACCCAGAGAATTTGACAAAGCATGTAGAGAAACGTCTTGTGGACAAGGCTTCTCCAGACACTCCGCTGTTAGGTCTCTGAGTCAAACTTGTTTGACTCTCATTCTTAATTCCAATAAAGCAGGGGGCAGGGGAGCAGCTGAAGGGCATTGCAGATAACAAACTTGGTTTTAAAGACCTCAGGAGTGGAAGACAGGGCTGGCTCTGGTGGGCAAAGCTGCGAACCTTTCCCCTTCACTGGCCGGAACGAAGCTGGTGGGTGAAGACAAACCTAACGGAGCCAATGGCGAGATCTGCAGGCTATCAGAGACGACGGTCAAACACAGGACTGTATAAACTGTGGCACTAGAAAGACGAGAAGGGAGGTCCATGACAGCAGCTGGGAGCACACCTTCACAGCATGGCTTCCAGGAGCTGTATCTGTCCTGTCAGGAGTGGCAGCGTCCAGATCCATCCGAGTGGTTCTTTCCTCCTCTTAACAACATCGCAGTGGTTCTCATTAAATAACTATGTACACACACAAGGCTGTCGTCCCTCTCTTACATGAGCGAGGGTCCTTCCCTTGAGTTCCTGCAATGGCTTTAGAGAGTCGGCTCCAATTGCCTTTTTGGAGATTTACTGCTTGGGACCTGCAAACCTGCAAAAACAAATGACAGCCTTCAATGGGAGTCCTATGACCACAGCATCCCAGAGCTTCAGTAACTGGGTCTCCACGTACATCACCACCCCGCCCTTGCCGGGCTTTGGGATGCAGGCACACTGAGTTCTTGGGAGGTATGTATCCGTTCTGTGCCTGGCTCCTCTGTCACCCAGTCACATGTCCAAGATCTACGGGAAACAGCTCCGTACCTCCTTCTGATAAGGACAGTTTCTCAAGTTCAGCTTCAAGTTCAGCATCTAAGATCCTAGGCTTAGGCACACTGTTGGTATAAAGCGTCTCATGGGGGTTGTCGGGCAGGTCCAAAGGTTCTTTGGTGGTGTCCTGAAGGAGGATGTCCAACTCC